CCCCAGGTTACCTCCTGCCTGCTGCTTGTTTCAGGCTTCCCGCAAACATCTGATTCGCGGAAGCAGGGGAGGGGGAGGAGAAGGGGGGTGGAGCGTTCAGGGGAGGAGGGGGAAGTGGGCAGGGGTGGGGTGGACAGCTGCACGGGGCCCTCTAGGCATGGGGCCCCATTCAGGGGAATCGGCCGAATCAGCCTAAAGCCGGCCCTGCTTCTCACCATCAGGTCAGATCAATGTGTTGACCTTGGCCACATCAATATCATACAGTTTCTTGACAGCCTACTTGATCTGATGTTTGTTGGCCTTGACATCTTCAATGAAGACCAGGATGTTCTTATCCTCTATCTTCTTCATGGCTGACTCTGTGGTCAGAGGGAACCAGTTAGCAGGCAGGTTCCCTTGCTGTAGCTAGCATGAGAAAGTGGGATTGTTCTATAGTATTTATAATTGAGTCTGCTGCGTGCCTCAGTTTCCCTCTTTGCAGTGGGTGCAACGGGGTTAAAAAGCTGCGCTTGGGGCCGAGCAGGAGCCATGGTGTGTGTGTGTCAGGGACCAGTCTGGGGCAGGGTGAACGGGGCGTTAAGTCCTGGCTGACACCAACCCATGGCAGGCCGGGCAACGGAGCGGCGAGGCAGAGCCTGGCAGGCGCCCATGGCCGCATGGCTGGGGGGCACTGGCTTGGCCAGCAGGCCCGTATCTCAGCTTTCACGTCTCTGTGCTGAGCTCAGCCCGGCCTGCGCCCAGCTGACCAATAAACCCTGCTCTGCTGAGACAGGCTGCCTGGGGTCCCTGCATTCCCAGCTGGCTTGGCTGCGCTCCCAGGCAGAGCTCCGGGTGCAACGCAGGAGGGCTGTTGTGGGAGGGGATATAGGGTGGTTGGCTGGGAGGAGGGGGCTGCTGGACTGGGGACAAAGGGCAGTGGGAAGCCATGGGCATGGGGACAGACCCAGCTGGACGGGGCTGAGACTGGCCAGGTCCGAGGCCCCTGAGAACTGCCTGTGCTGTGTCCAGACATACAATGAACCCACCTGTGTTACGCTGACGGAAAGTCAATGCAGGCTACAGATTGGCGGGGGGGGCAGCATTGCTCCCCTGGGTGTGGTGGCCCCGGGGGCCCAGCACGAGTGGATTCCCTGAGGGGCCCACGGCAGAGCCAGATGTGCTGATGGCTCAGAGAGGTGTGGGCCCAGGAAGCTGTGGAGCCTGAGGAGGGCTGTCAGACTGACGGGGGTTCCTCCCAGGGGCCTTATGCAGCCAAGAGAGCACAGGGCCTGGGAGTCCGTGGTGGGTAGTGACCCTAGTATGGATTCAAGGAAGGATCTTACATTAGGGTTACCATACCCAGCAAATAAAAAAAGAGGACCCTCCACGGGGCCTGGTCCCGCCCATTTCCCCACCCCCCGGCCCCGCCCCAACTCCGCCCCTTCCCCACCCTAACTCCGCTCCCTCCCACTCCCAGCCACGGGGAAAGGGCTGCCCGAGCGCTACCGGCTTCACGGTTTGCCGGGCAGCCCCCAGACCCTGCGCCCCCGGCTGGCGCTTCCCCAGCGGAGCTGGAGCCTGGGAGGGGAAGCACCCAGCCGGGGGCGCAGGGTCTGGAGGCTGCCCGGCAAACCGTGAAGCCGGTAGCGCTTGGGCTTCGGGCAGCCCCTTTGCCTCTGGACCCTGCGCCCCCAGCCGGGCACTTCCCCTCCTGGGCTCCGGCAGCGCAGGGTCCGGAGGCAAGGGGGCTGCCCAAAGCCGGTAGCGCTCGGGCTGCCCGGCTCTTAAACGGAGCCGAAGAGTCAGGGGAGGAGCAGAGCCGCCATTTTCCCGGACATGTCCGG